AGGCGGGGGGGGAAGAGGGAGTGTCTGGTGCAGGGTGGCAGCAAGGGGTCCCACTCCCACATCCACCACAGTGGTTGGAGCTGGAAAAATGGAACAACCTGCTCTGCTCCTGCCTGCTGCCCATCGCCCATCCCGCTGTGCTCTGCTTCACCACGGAGGCATCAGAGTGTCCTGGCCCCAGCCCGCTCCACTTGCCACCACTGCAGCGGAGCAGAGCTCAATGGGCTGAGAGATGGGTGGTGGGGCAGAGCAGAGCAGGCTGCAAGGTTGCTTCAGCCCACATCTCTGTGTTGAGTCGGGGGGAGGAGGGAGAGGACGCCTGCTGCTGCCCTGCATGAGGCCTCCAGTAATCCCCTGGCTCTCAGTACTTGGGGGCTTCAGGCAAGGCATGCAGTTGGGGTGGGAGAGGATGGAGCAGGGGTGGGAAGGGATAGGGCAGAGCAGGGGTGGGGATTGAGGGAAGGACTAGATTGGGGGCGAGGCCTGATGTGGGGAGTTGCCCCGAGTCCTGTGCCAGGGCACTGAGCCCTAGTGTACACAAGGGAGTTATTTCAAACTAACTCCCCTTTTTTTGAAATAGCAAGTGGAGTGTCCACACTACCAACCCTGTTACTTCGAAATAAAGGGCTGGTTATTTCAAAATCCACGAGGAATAACGCTTATTTCAAAACAGTTATTTTCAAACAGCGGTAGTATGGACGCTCCACTGCTGCTATTTCAAAATAATTACTCTCTAAAATCATTCAGAGTAATTACTCCACAGTGCTTCCTAGGGCTCTAAATCGAGGTAGCGCATCCACATTAAGGGAGCCTGCCTTGGACTAATGTTGAGGCTTCCCAATAGTGTGGACATGATATTTCAAAATAGTTATTTCAGGAGTTATTATTTTGAAATGAGTTACTTCAAAATAATTTCCTAGTGTAGACATGCTCTGAAGGGATTTGCTCCAGGGCCTGCAAACCCCTAAGGATGGTCCTGCCTGCACTCTCCCTAGAAAAGGGATGGCAAACCACTGATCCACAGGGGGAAAAAAAAATCATTCAGGGGCCACACAGAAATGAGAAGCAAAACCAAACAAAACCCCACTTCACTGGCTTGGGGCCCAACAGCAAAGCAAAGCCAAAAAAAAAGGCTAGCTTGAGCGAGGGGCACTGAAGCTGGATTTACTTTCCTGGAGGCCTGGGGCTATTAAATTAGCTCCAGGGTGGAGTAAAAAATGAGGGGTTCCGTGTCTGTGAGGGGGCTGTGGGTTGAGGCAGGAGGGTAGGAGTGGGAGGGGCTGAGGTCTCTGATTGGGCTCTGCAGCGGGGCTGGTGATGAGGTGTTTGGAATGCAGGAGCGGGCTGCAGGCTGGAGCCAAGGGGAGTTGGCTCAGGGCAAGAGTTGCGGGCACAGAGTCTGGGCAGGAGATAGAGCTTGGGAGTGGGCTCAAAGCTGGTAGAGCTTGGGAGTGGGCTCAAAGCTGGTAGTGCAGCATCTGGGTGACAATTCAGGTGCTGGAACAGGCTTAGAGCTGAGGGACTGGGCAGAAGTTAGGGACTTAGGGTACAGGAGGGTACTCAGGGCTGGGACAGAGAGTTGGAGTGCAGGATAATTTCCTGGGCAGCTCGTTTTGTAGTTGTGGTGGGGACAGGTGGCTCTATGTAGTTCTACTCTCACCTGCAGCCCCATTGGCAGAGAGTCCCAGCTAATGGGAGCTGCAGTGGGTGGTTCCTGCTGGTGAGGACAGAACAGGGGATAGAGTTACCTTCCAATGCTCTTGGTGACACTGCTCCAGGCCAGGGGGAAGGAATGGCAGGCAGCACGTGGAGCTACTCTCCCCCTCCCCACCAGGAAGGACTGGCCTGGAACACAGTGTTGCATAAATTGCTGGTTTCGTCCCCTTGGAGGCTAGTCTGATTTACCCCAAGAAGAGAGTCACACTTTCAGGCTGGGTCCAACTCAAGTTTATTGGTTGCAAGCAATGGTCAGCCAAGGAGCTATTGCTCAAAGCAAAGCTGACCCTGAGCATTGGCTAAGCATCCTTTTTTATACTTTCTTTAACTTTCTTATCTAACTTGGCACATCTTGATTTGTTACCTTAGCTTCGTGTTGCCGCGTTATTGGTTAGCATATTTCAACTCTATTCCATTCAGTAACAACCACCAGTATAGCTTACTTAAGCAATAGCAATTAGCAAATTTCCCTAACTCAAGTAATACGTGTACTCCAGTCCTTGAGAAATGAGTCTAAACGGCTAGTTCCCCTTTTTACTACAGCTTCTAAAACATGCGCAATTAGCTAAATGATATGTGCTGTTTCAAGCTTAAGTAATGGAAGGGGGAAGAAGCACACATAGTCTTTACTAAATTTTACTACAACAGGGACTGGAGAGAATACAGCTCAGGGTCCTGGGCTAAGGGTTGCAGCCTCTTTCTTAAGCCCGTCCTGACTACAGGCTGGATCAAAGCAAGCCAGGAGCCAGATCTGGCCTGCAGACCATAGGTTCTCAAACACCGCTGCCCTAGGAGCACACAAATCAGCTTTGGCCCCCAGTGGAACTTCTATATCCCAGGTAACAAGTTAATTGGCAACTTAACAGAGCCTTTACACTAAATTCTGTACTATTTTCTAGATAACCTAGAGGACACTCTATTTATGCACATGTATTTAAGCAATTATAGAGCTCAACATATGTTTGCTCAGATTTTTTTTTAAATGGAGATTGCCTATCTCCTAGAGCTGGAAGGGACCTTGAAAGGTCATGGAGTCCAGTCCCCTGCCTTCACAGTAGGACCAAGTACCATCCCTGACAAATTTTTGCCCCAAATCACCTCCACAAGGATTGACCTCACAGCCCAGGGTTTAGCAGGCCAATACTCAAACCACTGAGCTATCCCTCCCCCTCTTCTACAAAAGAGTTCTTGCACATGAAGCTGCCAGTGTAGACGTAGCCTTAAAATACACACAAACAACATCTAAAACTTACTTTAGTAGTTAAATAAAACTAAGATATATGAGAGAAAAGTAAGTTAATCAAAAATCATTTTGCGTTTAAAACTGATTTATTAAAAAGGGAAACATTATTTGTCGTTAGTGAACTGAAATGACTATTTCTGGCCGTGGTGTCCTTCAAGATTTTGGAGCAGTAACAGATTTTGTCCTCTAAAACCTCAACTCTATGCATTAATTAAAAGAGGAAAATTTGCTCAACTTCCAACTGGTATCTCAACACCAGTTCAATGGTCTGACTTTCTTTAAAATTTCAGCAGCAGGTATATATAACTCTTTGAATATTATTTTTTACATAATTGAAATTAATAGATTACAGTAAATTCGGGCCTTAATGTAGGATGACATAATTTTAACTTTAAATAGTTTATTTTTTAAAAGAAAAATGTATTTAAATGAAAAATATTTATTTTACGTAAACATTTAATTAACATTAATAGAAAAAAAGGTTTTTTTAAAATGTATCCATCTTTATCTGCTATGGTTATTGGTCACTATACAGATTTCTTTAACTGCTCTTGTGTCATTCTGCACATTCACCTGGGCCTTTGGATTACCTCATCATTTCCTTTGTGTAGCTGTCACTAAACAGAGACCAGGAAAGGTGGTGTATTTGCCTGAGAAGGCAGGGCAAGTTCGTAACGTACAGCAGCTTTCCTCAGGTGGAAAGAGATTTCTATTTCTAGTGGTGAACTGAAAGGGGCGGGGAAGACAATAACGTGAAAAAAGAAAGAGGAAGCGAGTCCAACCTAGGACCGATGAAGCTGCCCTGTCTGCCATAGCTCATTAGCTGAAGTAATTCAGCTGCCTTACAGGAAGTATTCTGTAAGGAGGCTAAGGAGAGACCATGAAGGCTGAGAAGGAATGTCAGCTGTTCATTTTGAGCGTGGGTGAGTACTGGTTTGATTGTGTCCTACAGGAGATGGGTGGAGAAAGGTGAATGTTACATAGGCAAATATCTCAGTGTTTTTTATGTATTAATGTCCTTTATTTAGTATAAATGTTAGCCTCTTTGTGATCTGGCAGGTACAGTGATAATGCCTCCGTACTACAATGTCCGGATTCACAGGTAACTCCAGAAGTCTCTTGCAATTTCAGGGTCAAAAGATTGTACCATGGAGGCAAGCATTTGTAAAACCATTGTAAAATGATTTGCTTAGTTGTTGTAAATTCTTTACCCATGAAGTCAAACACCAATGATTCTCAAACTTCATTGCCCTGGACCCCCTTCTGACAACATGTATTACTACATGACCCCAGAAGGAGGGACCAAAGACTCATTGCCCAGATGGAGAACCAAAGCCCAAGGGCTTCTACCCCTGGCAGGGTGCCCATAACCTGAGCCCTTCTGCCCTGGGGGGTTGGGGTTTGGTCCTGGGTAGAGGAGATCTGACTTCGGTTTCAGTGGAGAGACTCTGGCTTCAGTCCCAGGCCTCAGAAAATCCAACACTACCTCTTCCAACCTCATTCAAACTGGGTCATGACCCACTTTAGAGTTCCAATCCACAGATTAAGAATGGCTGCTCTACATTGCATGTAGCCATTTCGAACACAAGATACGGATCTGCCAATATCTATAAATCAAACTGTTTGCCCTTGCTTTTAACATCCAGAGCCTCTACCTGCCTCTCTGATGCTCTGTCTTTTCATTTCCCCCTGTACAGCCCACTCTGCCAGTTACCCCAGACTTCACCTGCCTTGTTTCTTCTCACAAGTACCTCTGTGCCTTTTTTCTATACCAGCCTAGGCATAGAGAACCCTAACCCTACACTGCTGATTTTTTTTTGCAGAAAAAGCTACACAAATTGCACTCCACAATTTGAATAGTTTTTTCCAATCGCTTCTCTAGAAGAGACTTTTCTGCCATATGGCCCCATCTAAATGGGGCCAAATGGCAGAAAAGCCTCCTTTTTCGGAGCAACCCTTATTCCTCATAGAACAAGGTATACAGGCCTCCCCGAAAGAGCGCAAAAAAAAATGTGGAAGAGGAAGATGTTCCTTGGATGTGGCAGAGTTTTTCCAGGATACCTCCAGTGTATCCCGGGATACCCCCACAGAGTAGATGTACCCTTTGTCACTCACCTAGATGCCACCCCTTCCTTACTCAAATCTCTCTGAAAAGTCTCACTTCATACATGAAGCCTGAGAGAAGGGAATTTGTATGTAAAATAACGGAATTACAAAAACTGTATTTCTCAAGAAGTGGTTAAAATTGAATCACTGTCTGATCTTATTGATACAACCTGTTTTACCTCATCTGAGATTGTTCCCCTTCTGTTTGTTCTCACTCTCACCTCTTATCTCGTGGGCGATTCCAGACCCAAAGCTGTTTGGAGCAGGAACTTTGCCTCTCTGTTTTGTGACACACCTTGCACCCTTTGCAAGGGGCTAGAATGATGATAATAACTGGGTTGTTTGCAATGTGGACAAGGAATATCTTTTACTGGGCCAACTTCAATTAGTGAAAGAGAGAGGTTTTTCCAACATACACAGAGCTCTTATTTGGGTCTTCTTCAGCCCAGACATGAAGAAGAGCTCTGTGTAAGCTCAAAAATTTGTCTTTCACCAAGAGAGGTTGGTCCAAAAAAAGAAATATTGCTTCACTTACCTTGTCTCTTTAATAACAAAAAGGGCCAAACATATATTTGGTATGAATATAAACCATGCCTTGTAACACCATTATTAAATCAGTAGAGTGGGAGAGATTCTGGAAGAAGTTATTGAAGCTAAGAATGGTGCAATGTAAACAAGAGAGGACTCAGACCCCTACACAGTAATATAGAGTCTCTAAAAATGCCAGGTACAAACTTCGGGAGTGTTCAGACAGCAAAATGGGCGCATCTCTAGCACATTGTTATTAATGTACTAGCAGATATACCTGGCGTTGACTGGGTCTTTAACTGAAGGTTTTTTTTTTTAATGTACATGCTTTATTTCAATGACTGTATTTTTAAAAATGAAGGAAAATGAAGGCTAGAGTGAGGGTTCAGGGGTAAGGAGAGGCAGGGGATGGGCAGCTTAGGGCAGAGGGTTGGGAGGATGTGTGGGGGCTCAAGGTAAGGGATGGGGGCCTCAGCGTAGGGGGGGAAGGAGGTGAGTGGACTTAGGGAAGGAGCTAGGGGTGTAGAAGTAGAGGCAGGTGGGAGGTGCAGGACTCAGGGAAACGGACTGGGAGGTGGGGGAGCTTACCAGGGCCACCTGTGGCGGCGAGGGTGGTGCTGCTCCCACAGCAGCTCCTCCTGGAGGCCATGTCAGTGCTTCCCTGCCCCCGGCTCCTCCCAAGGGGCTGATGCTGCGCATCCCAGAGGGCAGCTCTTCCAGGGAGAGAGGATCTGGATCTGTGCACTTGTCAGGTGGGTTTTGCGGGCTGACCCTGGCCTCCAGCTATCACCCCCCTCACCTGACAGGTTGAAGTCTGGGGGGGGCGACATCCCCCAGCCTACTGCTGCGCCCCAGCCTGCTTGCTGGAGCAGTGTCCCCTCCATCCTGAAGCATTTTTGGGGTACAGCACTCTGAAAGCTTGCCCTGGCCTCCAGCTGCACCTTCCTGCTCTCTGGGCTGGCTGGTCTCCAGCTGCACATGCCCTGCAGCTAGTCTGGGGGGGTTGGTACTTTGGGGGCTACCTCCAGCAATCTCCTCCATCCTGCAGTCCGCTTAGGGGGTATTCTGAGCGGCTAGCCTGACTACCTGGGCTGCCCCAGGCCTTCCGGCTCCTCCCATCCCAGCTGCAGGTTCTTTGGGGGGGAGGGGAGGTTTTGGGGGCTGCTCCCAGCCTCCAGGAGCCCCTCTGTGGCCTGCAGGCTGTGTGGGGGGCCAGGTTCCAGGGGCTGCTCTGACCTTCAGCACCCCCACTACTGCAGCCTGCAGGCTGTCTGGGGAGGGGCTAAGCTCAAGGGGTGTCCCTCTTCTCCAGCAGCTTCCCCCCCGTGGCCTGCAGGCTCTCCATGAGAAGGGCAGGGTTTGGGAGCTGCCCTCCCCTTCAGCACCCCGCTCATGGCCTGCAGGTTCTCCATGGGTGGGAGAAGGCTGCAGGTTTGGGGCAGGAAGGCTCCTTACCACTGTGCAGGAAGGCAAGATGGCAGAGCCCCATTTCTGCTGATCATGCTCTTGATGCTGCAGCTGCCCCCAATGGCCACTCAGTACCACATCCCTCCTGTCTGTGCCCCTCCCTTTTGTGTTCCTTCACTCTCTGCCTTCCCCCTTTCCATGTTATGGAAAATAGTCCCATTTCTGGCACTTCCTGTCTTCCAGGCACAATCAAACTCTGACACAATTAAGCTGTGATAAAAGGAAGCTGTATACCAAATTTGGTGGCCCTAGCTTTTACAATTTAGGAGGAGTTCTTGAACAAACACTCACAGATGCACAGACAAATGGATTCACAGACAGACGCAATTTACAATATAGCTAGCTAGCTAAATTTGTACAGAAGTTGCACAGAAAGACCAAGGCTCCACTGTTGTCTCCATCTCTCTCCACTATACAAACATATAACAGACAATTCCTGCCCCACAGAGCTTATGATCTATAGGCGGGTACTGCACACAGATCGGGTGAGGGGAAGCCCAAGGAAATTGTTATATATGAAAACAGTGGTAAGACTGAATGAAATTCGGAGGTACAGAAAGTGTTCCTTAAAGTCTGCCAGCTCATTCTATTTCAAGATGATATAGGTAATGTTTTCTTTGCAGATAGGTAAACTTTTATTGGATTTATGTAGCTGCTAGAGTAGCTCCACATTTTGTTAATTCCATTTGATCCAAGATGTTTTAAAGAGATCATCACAGAAGACATGAATGGCTGGGGGAAGACCATAATTTTGTTTCTGCTGGGCTGGGAGTTTCTTTTATGGATGTGTCTACTTCAGGGGTTGGCCACCTATGGCTCCAAAGCCTAATATGGCTTTTTTGCAGCTCGAGCTCAGCCCCTTCCCCCTTACAGCAAAAAGCCCACGCTGGTGCTTCAGCTTTGTGGCATCCCACAAGATTGGAGCACCAGCACCAGCTTTCTGCAGCAGGTAGGGGAGAAAAAACCCTGAGCCTTCCCGCCTGATCCAGCTTGTGGGGAAGAAGCCAGAGCTAGAAATGGTTGCATGCACTGACACTTCCCTTACCCCAGCTGGGGGAAATCAGTGCAAGGACAGGCTTTCAGGAGGCTTTTCCCACTGCTCCTATTGGCCAGAATCTGGCCAATGGGAGCAAAAGGAGGCCATGCCTGGGATGCCAGCAGCATGAAAGCAAGTAAGTGACCTCCTCCACCAGTGCCATCACTGGGTATTTTTTCTGTCGGGGGCAAAATATTAATTATGCGCCCCCTCTCCTTAGGTTATCACGTTTCTCGCTCTTTACTTTTGCAGCTTATTATTTGTACTTATTGTGTCTTTGCACCCCTAATTATGATGTGCCCCACTTACCTGCCCCCCATTCCCCAAGCTGAGACCCCGTACCCCCAGCCCACTCCCTCACCACCCTGCCGAGACCCAACACCCCGAGCCTGTTCTGCACCCTCCCCCCCCAAACCCCCCCCCCC